AGCAGGATGCCGGCCGCCTGGATGAGCTCGCAGCCCACCACACGCAGGCCGGTCTCCGTGTCGGTGTCGAGGCCGCTCGACATGGACGGCGTGAAGCGGAGCTTGTCGTCGGGCAGCAGACAGTTCTCCAAGGTGATGAGCACCCCGGAGTACAGCTTGTCCCCGATCAGCACTCCCTGCGAGCCGGGCGCGGCGACCCCGGAGCCCGAGGCGCCGGCCGCCGCCGCGGGGACCGCCGACCCCGGAGCCCCGGTCGCCGCCGCCGCCATTTTGTGCCGCTGACTTCTTTCGGGCCTCTTCCCGGCAGGGCGGCTCCTCGCGAAGCTCCCAGCCCGAGTCCCACCCCCGAGGTCCCATTGGCTGCGCTCTGCCGCCTTCGCGACACCATAGGCTGCCTGGTGCGTCCGTCAGCCGACGTCAGGCGTCGACGCCGGAACCCGGCCGGGTGGGGCGGCTCGTTACCCAGGAGGCGTCGTGGCCCGGACAGGAAGTGCGTCAGCCCCGGCTTCCGGGGCCGTTGGAGCGAGTCTTAAACCTGAAGCCCGGTAAGGTCCGGTCTTGGTGGCGGCTGGGCCAGTGCGGCCCCCGGTCGTGAGTCGGCGCAGCTTGGCCCGAGCCGCGAATCCCCAGCTCCCGCGTCCATCCCCAGCCTGCAACCTGTGTCCGGGGCAGGGGCCGGCCCCGGAATGGAGGGCGGGGGCCTGGGGCCCGGGGCCCCGGCTGGGTGGGGCGGCCGCGGGTAGCCCGCAGCGTTTCCCAGACCCCTCGTCCCTTGGAGTGCGGAAGAGGCAGCGCTGTGAGGGCCCCGACCCAACCTCTGCCTTCTGTTCCATGCCAGTGGCTGATTCGAACCGAGCTCTTGTGCGTTAGCCCAGTGCTACCCCCAAGTAGCAGGGGAGAGAACAAATGGGCCTGGCCTGCAGAGGGCACGGGATCGCGAGGAGGGGTACGTGGAAACGCACGGGCCGCAGGGAGGATGGAGGACAGGTCAGAGATGTCTAGGAGGTAGACGCCAGGGCTTGGTGGATTCTGCATGGGGTTAGAGGTGATGTTTAGTTCAAGAGAAGAACGCAGAATGATCCCCACGCAATTGGTGGCACAGAAGAGGTCCTTGTCACCACAGGAGTGTGTGACTACAGCTAGGTTCTCTGAAGCAGGATAAAGCTCTCCGGGGTTAGCAGGACAAGCAGGGCCAAGAGTGCATTGCTAGATTAACGTGGCTGTCACCAGCAGGCAGGGCCTAGAAAAGCCTAGTGGTTTTGTTTTTCAATCCTGGGGCTTGAACTCAAGGCTAGCACACTACCACTTGAGCCACAGTGCCATTTCTGGCTTTTTCTGTTTATATAGTCCTTAGGAATCAAATCCAGGGCTTCATGCATTCCAGGCAAGCACTCTACCACTAAGCCAAATTTCAAGTCCTAAATCATAAAGGCAATGAACCAGCCACCAGTGGATTGTACCTGTAATTCTAGCTACTCAGAAGACTGAAATAATAAGGATCACAGTTCAAAGTCAGACCAGGCAGGAATGTCTGTGACTCTTTTCTCCAATTAACCACCATAAAACCAGAAGTAGAGCTGTGGCTCAAAGTGGTAGAGCACAGTGGACACTGGTGGCTAACACTTATAATCCTAACTACTCAGGAGGCTGAGATCTGAGGACCACGGTTCAAAGCCAGCCTGGGCAGCAAAGTCCGTGAAACTCTTATCTCTAAACCACCAAAAAACTGGAAATGTTACTGTAGCTCAAGTGGTAGAGCGCTAGCCTTGAGCTGAAGAGCTGAGGGACAGCGCCTAGACCAAGAGTTCAAGCTCCATAACCAACAACCACAACAAAAATTGGTAGAGCACTAGCCTTAAGCTTAAGAGCTCAGGGACAGTTCACATAGGCCTTGAGTTCAAATCCCAGGACCAACAATAAATAAATAAATGGTGATGAACAGAGGGGTTAAAGTATCATAAGTCAGGACCTGGGCATTTTTTTTAAGGATGAAAATCCCTGTGGGCCCCTGTCAGTGTCTGCTGAATTTTAACTGCAGACCCAGTGATGAACAGCAGTACAGACCAGAGTGGAAAGGGGCACAGAGTGAGTTACTCAAAAAAGATGGCAAATAGGGTTGAGATTTTGTTCAGTGAAGAGTGCTTTCTAGCAAGTGCAAGGTCCTAGGTCCAGTCCTTAGCACCACAAAAAAATAAATAAAAGGATGAATGCAACTAAGGCACAAAGAAGGCAAGGGGTGACGGTCTTGTGTAGGGGCCAAGGGGGCGATGACATCAACCACTACAAGGAATGGAGTGGACAAGGCTGCTCGCAATGGCTCCTGCTAGGCCGGGAAGGTGGCTTAGTGGTAGAGTGCTCGCCTAGCATGCATGAAGCCTTGGGCTCCATTTCTCAGTACCACATACACAGAAAAAGCCAGAAGTGGTGCTGTGGCTCAAGTGGTAGAGCGCTAGCCTTGAGCTAAAGAATTAGCCCAGGGACAGTGCCCAGGCCCTGAATTCAAGCCCCAGGACTGACAAAAAAAAAGGCTTCTGATAATGAGCTTATGGCTTTAATAAAACTGTGTGTGTGTGTGTTAAAGGCCTCCTCATATCTGACTTTGGAAACTTAAGTTGAGCTGGCTTTGAGGGCTGAGACAAAGAGCATCAGCTGCCTGAATGGAAGGAGACAGAAACAGGCTGGTGTTTATACAGTAGCTGAAGAGCTGAGTGTGAGGTTCTAGCCATACACAAAGAGGAGATTGAGGAAGGTAGAATACAAGTCAGCCTTGAGCAAATAAGAATAGGAATTAAGGCACGTTGGGCCAGGTGCCAGTGGCACACACTTGTAATCCTAGCTACTCAGGAGGCTGAGATCTGAGGATCGCGATTCAAAGCCAGCCCGTGAATAAGTCCATGAGACTCTTATCTCCAATAAACTACTCAGGACCGTGACCGACAAAAAAAAAAAAAGAAGCCGGGCACCGGTGGCTCATGCCTGTAATCCTAGCTACTCAGGAGGCTGAGATCTGAGAACCAAGGTTCAAAGCCAGCCCGGGTAGGAAAGACCATGAGACTCCTATCTCCAATAAACCACTAGAAAACCGGAAGTGGCTCTGTAGCTCAAGTGGTAGAGCGCTCGCCTCGAGCTGAAGAGCTGAGGGACAGCGCCCAGGCCGAGTTCAAGCCCCATGACCGACCAAAAAAAAAAAAGAGAGAGAAAACGATTAATAATAATAATGATAATAAGTAGGGACTGGATGTCAGGGTTCATAGGCCTGAAGCATATTCTACTTTGCATAGGGAAGCTGCACTTTTAGTTAAATCCACCCCTCCTGTCTACTAGCCTCTCCCAGCATTCCAGTAAGCTGCTGCCGCTAAGGACAGAGCACTTCAAAGGCAGACTGCACCCCAATGTGATATGTACCAGATTCCAGAAAACTCAAAATTGAATGCTGAAAAAGGTTTATTTACACAAATTTATTTAAAGCATCCCACTGGGAAGACAGCCTTACTCTCAGGTAAATAAACATAAATTTGATATACACCAACTTATCATTGGCTTAGTTATAGTCACAAGGGGAAAGCCACTTGGGGTCCAGGGCTGCAGCCTTCAGTGGTACTGCACCACCCTGGAAAAGATGCCTTCAGGTTCCTTCCCATCCCCTAAGGCTGCGGCAAATCCTTCCTGCCGCCTCCTTTTGGCCAAAGCAGCCAAAGATTTAAAAGTCTTTGGCTCATAGATGGCCAGGTCCGCGAGTACTTTTCTGTTGAGCTCCACCTGGCACTGGGAAGAGAACAACCTGTAGTCAGCTTCAGTAAAATGCAGGGAGACAGACTGAGGCAAAAGAATGCAGCTTGAGAACCTCTGGTATAACACACTCTCCTCTGACTAGAGAAGTAGCTTCAGGACAGTGCAAATGTACAAATGGGAATCTGGACAAAACAGAACACTGAAAAATAAATGCAGATGGGGAAAAGAAAGCACCAATGAACTTGACTCCAGAGCCAGCTCATGCAACACAGACTTTGGTTAGGACCAGTGATCATCAACTTGACCAACAGGATACTTGTCCTGAACTAACTCTCTATTATCAATTTGCAGGCACCAGAAGCCACACTAAGACTAAGCTAAGGCTCATATAAAGACTGAAGGAGCAGGGTGTCGGTGCCTCATGACTATAATCCTAGCTACTCAAAAGGCTGAGATCTGAGCATCATGGTTCAAAGCCAGCCCAGGTAGGAAAGTCCATGAGACTCTTATCTCCAATAAACCACCAGAAAACTGGAAGTGGTGCTGTGGCTCAAATGGTAGTGCTGGCCTTGAGCTGAAGCCTTGAGCTCTGAGACAGCACCCAGGCTAGGAGTTCAAGCCCCATGATAGACAAAAAAAAAGCTAGGTGCTGGTGGCTCAGGTGTGTAATCCTAGCTTCTCAAGAGGCTGAGATCTGAGGATCATGGTTCAAAGTCAGCCTGGACAAGAAAGTCCATGAGACACTTCTCTCCAATAAACTACCAGAAAACCAGAAGTGGTGCTGTGGCTGAAGTGGTAGAGCATTTTCCTCTAGTTGAAGAGCTGAGGGATGCCCAGGCCCAGATTTCAAGCCCCATGACTGACAAAAATAAAAAGCTCAGAGACAGCACCTAGGATCTGAGTTCAAGACCAAGTACTGGCACCACAAAAGAAAGAGAAAAGGTCCATGAGACTCCATTTCCAATTGGCTAGCAGAAATCTGGGCTGGAGGTATGGCTCAAAGGGTAGAACACCAGCCTAGCAAGAGAGGGAGACCTGAGTTCAAACACTGCTATCAACAAAAATATTAAACTTTAATGTTGAAGCCACAGTTGTCCACCTTTATTCCTTAAAGGAAAAACATCCAGCTTCCCATCTCACTATACAACATATCCTATCATCCCACATACGGGGCAGCCTGCAGGGTAAGGTAGAAGTGAGTATGTATAACAGGCCTAAGTCTACCAGAACTCCACCTAAGAACAAAAAGCACATCAGGTCATAGCCCCAATAGCTCCTTGTGTGCCTGAATGGAAGGTACCTGTGGATGCTCAGCACCTCAACAGGGCCTTCAACTTACCTTAACTAAATTGGCAATGAGTGCTGAGTACTGTAGGCCATGTTCTTGGGAGGCAGCTGTAATTCGATTAATCCAGAGCTGGAAGAAGAAAATGATAAAATATTTAACGATTTCTGGATATAATATCCTCATCTTGCTTCCCACAAAAGTTCAAAGTAGGAGGATGAAGGTGGTTTACAACTGTAATCTTAGCTACTCAGAAGGCTGAGATCTGAGGATTGAAGTTCAAAGACAGCTCAGGCAGGAAAGTTTGTGAGACTCTCCAATTAACCACCAAAATGCCAGAAGTGGAGCTCAGTGGCAGAGCACTAGCCTTGAGCACAAAAGCTCAAGGACAGCACCAGGCTTGGAGTTCAGGCCCCAGGACCAGCACATAAAAGAAAAGCTCAGTCTAAACTAAAAAGTCCTTGTAAATCAATTTTTTTTTTAAAAAAAGTTTTCTTCTCAAGCAAACAGGTTTGCAGCACAAACAATAGTAAGCCAAGATTAATGCAGTTCATCTAAGTGAATTCCATCTTAAATAAGGACTAGCACACCATAGAGGTGGGGGCAGAAGAATCCAGTCTTAGGCCAATGTGGGCTATGGACAAGACCCTGTCTCAAGAAAGGAGAAGAAATTTGACATGACAAGCGGAGAAGTCATAAGACATTCACAAGCAGCAAGAATATAAACATGTACAGGGCACCGGTGGCTCATGCCTGGAAGCCCAGCTACTCTGGAGGCTGAGATCTGAGGATCTGAGTTCAAAGCCAGCCCTGGCAGGAAAAGCCACAAAACACTTATCTCCAATAATTCACTCAGGAAGCCGGAAGTGGCGCTGTGACTCGAGCGGTAGAGCGCTCGCCTGGAGCTGGGGAGCTGAGGACAGCGCCCAGGCCCAGAGTTCAGGCCACGACCAACCAGGTCCAGCAAAAGGTCTTCACGACTCGATTCCCGCCGCTACTGGGACGGGTGTGTGAAACTGCAGGCCGGAGTCCCGCCAGGTGGAGGGAGGCCAGAGGGCGGGCTCGGAGGGCCAGGCGCCTGAGAGTGCGCGTGCGCCCGGCGGGGCGGACAGCCCTCCGGCCATTACCGGGGGC